TCTTCTAAAACTGTTCAGAAGTCTGATAGGAATCAGAACCAGTATGTCATCAAGTAATAATCTTAGTACAATCATTCTGTTTGGGAACATTCATGTATATGTTAGTATATTTTAACTAATGTTAAATATTAAAATTAAATATTAAAATATTAAATATTTAAATAAATATTTCCACACAGTTAAAATAATAGTTGGGGATCACATTAATTTAAAGAAAAATGATTTTGTTACAGGGCATTTACCCTTCTCTCTATTCGGTAAATATTTCTATTTGGTGGCTCCTTATTCTGGTTGTGAAGCATGAAATCTGAGTGGTGAATGTTTCCAGGAGGATCATCGATGAAAAGAGTGATAAACGTAGCTCAGGCTTGTATTTGTGGGTTCCCTTGTTTCCCCTTTCACATCTTCAAGGAAATTGTTTTCAGCATTTGTATGCTGGTGATATACCAAGTCTTCCCTCATCAAAATCAGATCGTAGAATCTGATGAAGAAAAGCCTTTCAGAAAAAAAGAAACTTGGTACAATTATGCCTGTACATTTATAAAATGTGTTTATTCTTAAAAGTTCCATGTATTTCATCTAAGCACTACATTTTGTGGAATGAAAGGCTTTGGAATTGTTCAATGACTTTCAGGGATCATCAGAACAAATGGAAGACTATTTGGAGCGGAGGTGGGGTGAAGAGCATAGCAATGGCTAGGAGGAGGGGAGGTCATCTAGAATTGTATTTATTCTAAGGGAAAAACCAACAACGTTGAATCGCTTTGATTTTATTCTTCGAAGTCTTGTGAGCCACCTAGTGATACAGAGATTAAGGAACCCACTGTTTCTGTGAGTAGTAGGTATGTTTATGGAAATGACCGACAGGGCAAGAAAGTTTTCTCAGAAATTCTGTCAGTCGATGTTAAAAGATGTATGTGATTAATGTAAATTTGAGATGATCATAAAGGCACTTATAACTTATTTAAGAAAAAAAATCTCTATCATGTGGAGCTTTACCATCGTTTTCAGCCAAGATATACATTAAAAAAAAAAAAAAAGAATGTTTGTAAGATATCTTGAGGTTAACCAATAAGGATGCTGGCTCCTGGGAACCCCCAGTTACTGGAGTCCAAGTATACCCCAAGGTGTACACCTGTAGCCCATCAGCAAGGTGTATGCCTTCAGTCAGTCTTCATGGCAAGAGCCTGTATGGGATCTCTGATCTGCTGATGGGAAAGCCCTGCACTGTATTAACCCTTTACAGGTAGATTTCCAACCTTTTAGTCTTTATTAAGTGATACTACCTGCACTCACGGACAATCAGTCTGAGTCTCAGCTCTGTTTCTTTATTAGGAATTGTATGTGATTTGAGCTAATGACAGAAATTAGTCCTTAACTGAGATTTTATTAAGTATTTTGTGGTCATTTTGTGTCAATTACAGATGTGAGTAACACAGAGACATAAACTAGTTGAAATGCACACAAGCTGAAAGCGAAAAGCATGCTTTTCAGTAAAATCTTTGGCAGTTGCTTTTCCTCTAGGAAACAACAATCACATCAACCTCATCCTCATGAGAGAAATCTCTTTATGTCCTAAGCGGATGGTAAGCTACAGTAATAAAAAAAAGGTATATGAGTCCATCTATTTATCTTCGCTAAATCTGAAGAACAAAACAGCCCACCCTCCAACCTTACTCCCACTATGGGCCTCTGCCCCACACATACCACATTCAAAGTTGTATCCACCTCTTCTTTTCTCCCCATGTTACATGCTGGAAAAGAGAATTTTTTAAGTAGTGGTTGAGCCATATTCTTTAATTGCAGCAGTTATACAGCCTAGTTACACATTACAGTATACTGGGAAGCTTTTAGAATTTACCTATAGGGGTGCCTGGGTGGCTCAGTTGGTTAAGCATCCGACTTCGGCCCACGTCATGATCTCGCCGTTCATGAGTCTGAGCCCTGTGTTGGGCTCTGTGATGACAGCTCAGAGCCTGGAGCCTGATTTGGACTCTGTGTCTCCCTCTCTCTCTGCCCCTCCTGAGCTCATGCTCGCATGCTTTCTGTCAAAAATAAATAAAAATTAAAAAAAAGAATTTCCTATATCGTGGAGCCATTAAGTCATATTCTCTGGTGTTGGGGAGGTGTCAAGATACCCCACACAAAGTAAGATAGTTCATAAATAATAGGAGGCAATGGATATGCTAAAATGCAGTGCATGGATGAGTTCACAGAAGGTGCTAATTATTGTTACCTAAAGGCTTTTTTTTCTTTTCTTTTATTATACTTTATTGTCAAGTTGGTTTCCATATAACACCCAGTGCTCATCCCAACAAGTGCCCTCCTCCATGTCCATCACCCATTTTCCCCTCTTCCCCAACCTCATCCACCCTCAGTTTGTTCTCAGTATTTAAGAGCCTCTTATGGTTTGCCTCCTTCTCTCTCCTTAGCTTTTTATTCCCCTTCCCCTCCCCTATGGTCCTCTGTTAAGTTTCCCCTATTCCACATATGAGTGAAAACATATTGTTACCTGAAGTTTTAAAGACTATGGTAAACAAGAGTTGAGACTTGGGCTAGAAGATAAAAAGTGTATTCTAGGCCTAAGGAGAGATGGGAGGAAACAGTATGAACTATATCTGAGACTCTAGATAAACTCAGATCGGTTGAGGAAACAAGCCTGGATGATTTTAATATTCATTTGGGAAGCAATGGGAATTCATATTATATAACTGAGTGAGACCAGTGATGGAGATGTCTGAATAGAAACCCAAGGGCTCACCCTAGAATTAAAATGGTTTTCATCAGAGAAGGAATGAGATTAGGGAGGATAGCATCCAGAGCCTTTGGTCATAGTCTGCTTTTGGCAGCAAGGTGGATGACTCTTCTCTCAATACTTACCTTTCTTGTCTCTCATTATCTAATGTTTGCATATCTTTTATACCTTGTTGGTGTGTGCAAATATTGATATGTGTTTGCATTTATGAATTGTTTCTGGGATTTTTCATTGCAAAGCTCCTAATGGCAGTCCACAAAATGTAAGTGGTTACTTTTGCTCTGTCCTCGTTACATAGTCTTAGATAAATCACTCAGTCCCTTCTGACTTAGTTTCTTCATTTATGCAATGATGAGATACGACTGGGTATTTTCTAACCTAATATATAGAACTAACATCACATGCATTTCCAGTGACTATTCTCAACCTTACAAAAGGCGGGGTTTTCAACTGAAGATTGTTTCTTAGCCATGTGCCTCCACTAGGTTTGGGCACACTATTACTTAGGTAAGAAGTAGACGTCTCTCTGGGCACCTGAATGGCTCAGTCAGTTAAGCATTTGACTTTGGCTCAGGTCATGATCTGGTGATTCATGGGTTTGAGCCCTGCGTTGGGCTCTGTGCTGACAGCTCAGACCTTGGAGTCTGCTTCAGATTCTGTGTTTCCCTCTCTCTGCCCCTTCCCCACTCATGCTCTCTCTCTCTCTCTCTCGCTCTCTCTCTCAAAAATAAACATTAAAAAAATTAAAAAGAAAAAGAAAGACATCTTTCATTTTCTCTAATGAGTTCAAAGAAAAATAACCGATGTTTCACAAGAAAGAATACTGACAGTATTCATTTTTGTTTCTTTGGACTGATGAGTGAAGGTAAATTTAAAAAAATCAGTAGGTTAACAAGCTATACTGACTGGCAAAATTATTTAAGATCAGTAAGGGAAATCATCACACTCCATGTCACTCACACATAAAATTTACAGAGCAAATAGTTATCCTTTTAAAGATTTTAATACATACTTAAAAATGGACAATTTATTATTACATAATTATATAACATTGATACTGTGAGATATGTGGGTGTATATATTTTTCTTTTCAGTAAAATAGTTTCATGCTTATAAAAGTCACCCTAAGTCAACTTGGGACAAAGAGAACAACATACAGTAGAAATAAACCAAGTAGTAAATAGGGTATAAGGAAAAATATTATAAAGCAGTGACACTGTTGACACAAAAGAAAAAAAAAATACACCTTTCTATTATTTGAAGGCAATTCACAATCATTTCCAGGAATTCTGTGAGAATTTAAGGCCATTTGTTCTAAAGAAATGCTTTAATTCAGACACGACGTCACAAAACTGTAATTCTTGTAAAAACTGTACATGCAAAAACTCTTTACAATTAATTGTGGACAGGCAGTTCCATATGTAGGAGTAGGTTATTTCACAAATGTGTTGTGCACTAAGTCACAGGTTGTGTATGTTTTACTGGGAATGTCACGAAAAACTTCCAGCCTGTGCACCCTGCATGGCCACATGGAAGGGTGAGAACAAGGAGTCCAAATTGACAGAGCCAGTATCCCTTTGAATAAAAATATCTAGACAAGGTAGAATGGAATAAAAAGTTTAAAACTTCTGCTACATGGTTCACAGTTAAATATTCTGGGTTTTAGTCTTTTAAATAGCATTATAATATAAAGACGCTACTTTTTACACAAAGGATATTCTGTGCATTTTACGGTTCACGATGTTTGACTTTTTCTGATTTCTACGGAGAATTACAAAACATAAACTGACGGCAGTCTAAATTTAGAACCCAAACCCCATGAAAAATGCATATTCTTACTGGATACACACCCGCTAAGCTTAAACTCCCATACCCATACGTGGCAAACGATGCAGAGGAACTCATTACTAAGCAGATGCAGCTTTGTAAGACAATTCACCTACTGAGAAATATGAAAGTATCTTTCCCTCCCCTTGTTTGCAATTGCATTTGTCCAGACAGTCATTCAAAGAGATATTGCTCTTGTGATTATAGCTATTGCAATTTAGAAGACAAAGGATTCAATATTCAAAACTCTTATTCTTAAGAACAGTTATAAAAGTATTGAAATTTAAAAAGTAGTAACATGTAAACATTGATACAGAGAGAGACTGCTTTCCTAGACACACAGCAGTCGAGGACAGTATTTGAGTTAAAAACATAGTTTGTGCTTTTTCCCAACAATACATTGGAAATTAGCTGTTTCCTGTCCAAAAGAAAAAAAAAAAAGAAGATTCAGAAAAGACATCCATATTTTGCTTCAAGCATTTAAACGATTTTTTTTTTTTTGGTTGCTCATGCAACAACCATATTTACAGTTTTGGTTTAGGAAGAGAATTAATTTTGGATCCAAGAAAGCATATTAATTAACCAGTACTGCTGAAAACAAACTGAAAAAAGGATCTCATTCCCTGGTTCATTACAGAGCACCAGGAGCAAAGCATTGACTCAGCAGTTCTAACTGATGTGTAACTAACATTAGCAGTTCAGAGCACAGTCATATCTGAGTCTGTAACACATGTGTGGGCGGGGTGTATGGGGGCGGTGCAGGCGATGGCTTGATTCCTCGCGCCCTCATGTAGGACAGGAACTGCTCGGGGATCTCAGCTAGGACATCTTTAGCCAATCTAGCCATGCTCAGAATGTGGTTTCCGCTTCTGTCAATATAATCCCTGAATGGTACGAACTGCAACAGAGGTGAAAGAAAGAAAGCATACTATTTAATAGACACAAAAATCAACACATTAAACATTTCATTGAGAATTGAAGAAGCCTGGAGTGGTTGTTGATGGATAATAATTAGTACGAATTTTAAAGAGATTTGATTCATTACCAATAGCTACTACAGTGACCAAACCTTTCTAATGTATATACTTTATCTAAAAAGGGATGGAATTGTTTTCTACGTTTCTTCTTCCCAGTAATTCAAGATTCCTGTTCCTGACAGGTCCATCATGTTGCTACATGTGCTCTGCAGTTTTGAGTTCTATACCTAGCCAGACTCCCAATAGCATGGAGCATTTACCTCTTCGGGGCTCGGTTTTCTGTCAAATGGAGTTAATACATGCTTAGTTCAGCTTTCAATCAGAAATAGTATCCAATGGAGGGTAAAAAAAGAAGTGTGTATCCTAAACACATGTAAAGTATTTTTAATTATTACTAACACATCAAACCACATGTTCCAGATATATATTTTTTAATCTGGTATTTGAAATGGAAAAGGAAAAGAATTCAACATGAGATTTGGGATACTTCTTATTGAAATATCAGCATTCTTATTTCTACAATATATAAAAATAATTGCTCTATCTTTACATTACCAATTATGTGAGAGCCATTATCAGCTCAACATTAAATATTCTGACAATAAATTGCCTGATTCTCTCTTCATTTGTATTGGTTACTTAAGTTAATAAAAATGTGCTGTTTGAGGGCATTAGTTCAATTTTCCCCCAGAGACATGATGATTCTTGAAGCCACTTGGAAATGTTTAGAACTGTTAATGTTGTGATAGTTTGGGAACACAGTAATTTTAGGTCTTGGGGAAAAGGCACAGCGAAGACATTTGAGAATGTTCAGCACTTTCTGATTATAATATTTAACAGCCTGAATTATATTATTTTTTCTCCTCTAGAGAGAGAACATACCCCCATCTCTATAACTATACCATAACTATTTTAAACTTAGTTTGAAAAAGTTACTTTTGACTTACATAGTTACTCAAGATGTGCTTTCAGAAAGCAACTATTATGAAGAAGCAGGTTTTAAAATGGTCAGGTGCTTACAAATTAAAATTTTAAGAAATCAAATAGCAGTTATAATACCTTATATGCAGTGAAAACAGTCTCTTTAAGCAAGAGCACAAAACTACTTTTTTCTTTTTAAAATAAGACATGCTGTAGTCAGAAGCGACCTATATGACTATAATTTTACCCGGTCTTGCTAACCAGGATGAAAACTCAGTCCAGCTTTTAGAAACCTGTAGTAGAAAGGTGATGAAACTTGCTCTTACCCCTGAAGATGGCTAATAAGGGTAAGAGAAATCTAACAGAGCAATGTAATCTTCAACTGAGAAGAGTAAGAACTAAGGGGATGTGAACTTTCATGAGGTTAAATTATTTAGCTTTGGATAAGACTTGACATCTTTAACAACAATAACAACAACAAGTGCAAAAAAAAAAATCAGGGTTTATTTTTTTCCCTGAAACGATAACTAGAAAAGTGAGAAAAGAGGAATCCACAAGACATGATTAATGAGAAAAAGATATCTAATTGCTATAGCTTAGTTCATTCTTCTTTTAAAAGACATCATTTTAAAAATAAATTACTAACAAGATATCAATATGCTTAGTATACAATGATTATCCTTTAAATTTTTTTAAGAGTTCAGTTTTTCAGAAATCTGTGGCTAATATCTACATTTCAGGGAAAGGATGGTACCTCCGGCAAACAGTTGACCTCACCCATTTGTGTGTTTACCTCAACTTTGCTCTTTTATTTGCATTGGATTCTTCATTTTTCTTCCATGCCATGGACATTAATCTCTTTTCTCTTTTTACCCCCTATTTTCCCAAACTCTGGAATTAGACCTCCCAGTTCAGAGCCCAGTTCTTCTACTTAATAGCTACATGATCTTGGACAGATAATTTTCCACTCTTTGCCTCAGTTTCCTCTTCTAAAAATGAGGATAATAATAATAATACCTATTCAATTAGGTTGCTATATTAAATGAGTTAACATGTAAACTGCTTAAAACCGTGTTCAACTCGTAATATGAATGACACAGGATAGTCGATGTAATCATCATTAGTATTATTATTCATCATCCTATACATGTATATATTCAATATAAATATGAAATTATATTCTTATTAGTGTTCTGTTTACATTCATATCAAACATTAAATAGAAGGAATATCCTTATCAATTTTATCTCTGTCAAATTGAAGTACAATATCAATATTGGCATCTAAGAGAGTAATTCCTGGCCTTTTTGTTATTTTAAAACACTCATTGCTTCATCTTTCTAGCATCTGCTGTAAGATTTGCTAGTTTTTGTTATTGGAGGACATTACAATTAATTTTTAAGAATGTTGTGATGCTCTGGGATGTCAAAACTCAGATTCACAATTGCCATTCTCATAATACATGTAGTTCTACTCCTATTTAAAACATATTTATAAATCATGGGTAAGAAAGAAATATAGTTTTCAGCTGAAGGGGAAGTTTTACATCACATTGAACTTAGGTTTATTCAGTAGGGGCACAGATTCTGCCTGGCCCCTGAATACTGAGGGACCTTGCCCCCAGGCTGAGAATCACTGCCATAGGGAGTTCCTGTTATCAAGGGAAGTACGCCTCATCCCACATGTGTGCTGGGAGTAGAAAAAAAAAAATGTTGAGAACTTTCTACTCACTAACCTAAATTATCTAAACCTTTTTCCAAAGGAACATTCAGCTCTTCAATCATGTCATGAGGTACTCTCCTAAGTGAGGGATGAAAATGACAAGTAACTCTTCATTTCCTTGACCTCTTATTAATGTCAGATCTTACAGATTTCAGGACAATATATGCCCTCTATAACACTATTGCTCTACAATCCGTTTTCCACTTAACTTCTCAGACTGCTCTGATTATTGTCTCTTTTCATCATTCACTTCTGATTACTATACCTGGGGACCTGTTCAAAATAATGCTCACACATTTGTGGATGAGCATTGATCATTGACTATCACCACATATTAACTTGCACACTTAAAATGTTCAGTCTAGAGGAATAAATCAATTTTCACTTTGCACTAATTTATCACATTCATCTGAAGAATACCAACAAATGCATTCTGTTCTGTAGAAATATACTATATCCTTGATACTCTAATTTTTTTTAGCATCCATGCAGTACAAGGAAAATGTTCCACATGGCTGCTCTAACGGCTGGCTTTGCCTATTTGTGAAAACAAGTTTGAATCAGTTTGCGCAAATGGACTTTTAGTTGTTGTTCTGCTCAATTTTACTTGATTGTTCCTACTGTGCAGAGCTCCATTAGTGATTTTCAAGTCTAAGGCTTCAAGGTTATTATTCTCCTTTTAATGGAAAATATAATTTAAATATAATTTCGAAGGAAATGATAGGCTGGTCACAGCTGCATGCAGTAAGGAGAAATGACATTGCATTATACACAATGGCCAATCCATAGCACAAACAAACAAATATTGGAAGCTTTTACATATATTGATTTAAGAATATAACTCATTTATAGGATCACATCTTGCTTACTGTTTATACTACAGTCAGATGAGATTCAATCTTGAGGCAATGAATATAATCACACACAAGGCTGACTATACTGTTCCATGTCAAGGTGTAGCTACTATGAAATACTGACATGAAAAATGCCTTTGCACTGGACTATGCCCACATACTCACTAATTATATTTATACCAACGAAAATTGGTATTAATGCACTTATTGAACAACCGTTAGGTAACAAGCTTTCTGGGAAAATTTAGTACAATATCTCATTTAATTTTTATTAGCATGTTACCCATATTTTGAATTTATAGAAGAGGAAACAAACTTAGAGAGTTTAGTTAATGTACCCAAGGTCAGATAGTTATCAGTATCAGTCATTATTTGAACCTAAATTGATCTAACCCTGATATATAAACCATTACAGTAGTATGAAAAGGGAAACAGAGCCTAATAATCTTCATTAGAATTTTGCCTTTTAGGAGAGTAGGTGTGTTGTAACAGAAAGAACTCAGAGTTTAGAATCAGACTCAACTGGAAATTTGGATCTACCATTTATGACTTAAATAATTTTGCACAAGTTGTTTAACATCTCACCCTCTCCCTCTGCTTCCTCATTTATAAACTACTATAAAGTAAAATGTGACCGTATTTTAGGAAGATATAAAGTGATAATGTGAATAAATTGACAAAGAGGGGAAATTAGCTGGAGTGTACACAGAGAGGGCATTGTGCAAGGCTGTATACTGGGAACTTTCAAAATGTAGGTTTTTAACCAGCACAGATAAAGAAGAAGAGAATTCCAGGTGAAACAATAAGAGGAAATAAAACCAAGAACAATGGAAATGTGTGACTCAAAGACAGCTAGTAGTCCTATTTGTCTAGACAAAGTGTGTGTGTGTGCATGTGTGTGTGTGTATAGCTAAAGAGGAAGATTGGGGTCAGATTATGGAGGCTCTTAAATGCTATGTTTAGGTTTTAGAATCAAAGTTATACTAATTTGTGTTAAGAATTTTAGAATCAGACATTTTAAGGATAAATCCTGTCTCTACTTCTAACTAGCTACATGACTATGGACAAAAAGAATTGAAACTCATTTCTTTTTTTTCTTCTTTTTTTTCTTTTCGTTCGTTCTTTCTTTCTTTTCTTTTTTTTTTTTTTATAAAATGAAATCAAAGTACCTGCATAAGGTCAATTAAGGATTAAGTGAAAGTACCTGCCTAGCATACAATGGAGTTAACGAATGACTCAATATTATTATTATATGAAGTTGGAAGCCACTTAAGTTTTCACATAATAATGAGAACTCCATCCACTACCCTCAACTTTCTGCTAAAACTCAGCTACCTCTGGCTTTTGTTATTATTTGCAACCATAGGGTTTTGTTTGCCCACTTAAAAAAAATCGGGTTCCATTTGCAGTGCATTAACTTGATTAGCTTCAACATATAAGAAATTGGAAGTAGTCAAAAGGTAAGAGAGCCTAAACAGACCCTATTTTCTGATAATATTTTAGCCAGTAGTATTTGAGGTGATGGCTTAGATATTGACTGTGATGGCTTAAATATTTTCTGATGATGGAAAGATGGACAACATTATCCTTGATGTGCCCTGGCAACTCCACTATTCTAAATATTCACAAATATTTTTATTATTTTTTAGAAAACTTTAATGTATTTTTATTTATTTTTGAGAGAGAGAGAGAAAGAGAGAGAGAGAGACAGAGCATGGATGGGGGAGCAATAGAGAAGCAGACACAGATTCTGAAGCAGTCTCGAGGTTCTGAGCTGTGAGCACAGAGCCCAATGTGGGGCTCGAACTCACAAACTATGAGATCATGACCTGAACCGAAGTCGGATGTTTCACTGACTGCACCACCCAGGCACCCGGAAAGTACTTCTATTCTTGAAAATAACTAATTTAAATCATGTTTTAGTGGATGGTAGAACCTGGAAAACTGTGATGCTGTTAAAGTTTTTAGAGCCTTATTCGAGGTGAGAGAGAATGCTAATTCTTCTTCAACACAATGTAATATGTAAATGGTTACCTTGCTAACTATATTGAAAAGACCAATCACCACTTAGGAACTTCTATTCCTAATTATGAAATTAGAAAGGGTCTACTAAATAGCCTTAACTAAATGTAGGCATGTAAGTCAAGAAGTCACAGTCATTGAAGAAGCTACTAATTCTCTGTCGACATTTTAATTTCCTATTTAGTATCTGCAATATCCAATGACTCTTTTACTTTAGTTCAACTTTATGTAGTAGAATTCCTTGAATATTTAGTTATATCCCCAGGTATCTTCAGGATCTTTGGGGATCTCCAAGTCACTTTAAGGTGGCAGGCTGGTCTGTCTCATGGACTCTGACTTTCAAGAAGAAAAAACATGATTATATGTCTCATATTGGTTAGTAATTAATTTTCATGTGTTACTTCCTCTCAGATTCACAACATGAAAAGAGCAGAGACAAAGAAATTGAAGTCTAGAGGTAATGAAATGAAGGCTCAGAGAGATTTATTGATTTGTTCAAGATTAGAGTGACAATATTATACTTTCATAGATCTGAGTATCTCAATCTCAATATTCTCCCCAGTGTAGTATTTCCATTAAGAGACTAAATACTTTCATAATCAGGGGCATTTTTATTTTATAAACGCTAACAGGCATGACTATTGTTTTTCACTAACAAAACTGATTAGCCTCTTAAAGGTAACCTTAACGATGTGTGCAAGCTTAACTACCTCTAAAGGAAGAAAATAGTAACAAGTTTCCCGTAAGCATCATGATGATGCTATGAGATATGAGGTTGCTTCTACTGATTTTGAAAAATGCATTACAATAGCAACGTAACACATTCCAAAGAACTTCAAATTCATACTTCCCTTCAGTAATTTGATTTTTTGGAAACTGTGAGTCAGACATTATGAAGAGCTTTTAGATAAAGTGTAATTACTTAGACCTATAATTATGCTAATAAGGTTAAGGTGAATAATCATGTGTCTAATTATGAAAACAAAACACCATGGGATACTTAAATAAATGACCACATCATCATGTTCCGTTTCTCAGGTGCTTTTAACCTAATCATTCTTGTGTGTGTGTGCTTTTTACTCTACCAAGAACATTAGGTTAAAAAGTTTAAATCATATTTAATTATCTTTAAAAAAACCTGCTATACAGATTCTATTTTAATTTAATCTTGCTGCCTGATAAAGAACAATGCTTTTTTAATCTTCATGAACATTAATCTCTATATTAACATATTTACAGATTATTTTATATTTCTCCTAAATTATTTTAATCATTTTTATTGTCCTTTACTGAGTTCTATTTCAGAAATGTATTTTACATACATGGTATTACTTAATCTTTACAACATTGCCAATGAATTTTAGAAAGCTCATTCAAGTGATCACAGTGGACTAATTGAGATTTGAACCAAATTCTTTTTTTTTTTTTTTTTTTAAATTTTTTTTAACGTTTTTTTTTNACAGCGTGAGCAGGGAAGGGTCAGAGAGAGAGGGAGTCACAGACTGAAACAGGCTCCAGGCTCTGAGCTGGCAGTCAGCACAGAGCCCGACGCGGGGCTCGAACCCACGAACCGCAGGATCATGACCTAAGCGAAAGTCGGACGCTTAACCGACTAAGCCACCCAGGCGCCCCTTAGATTTGAACCAAATTCTGCAGGATTTTAAATTCTGTGGGATTCTTTTAATGACTGCTTTATGGATGGGTGAAAATATGGGTTGTTATTTAGGAGATAACACTGAAGTCCATTCATTGTTTGTCCCTTCAAAAACTTTCATAGCATGTGCTTAAACGGTGCTGAGATTTTTGCTTTCACATTTAAAAAAGTGTACTTCACAGCTTTTTTTTCCTTATAAAATCCTAAAAGATATGGAAACCCTAAAGTATGTAGCCATTTAGTTGATTTAAGTTCTTGCTTTCCATGAAAACTTTGAACCATATTGATTGGTTGCCAATTTTTCCCTTCACTCCCAGAATAGTAGGCATTAGTTACATATTGTTCTTGATTTTAACAAGTGTAAGTGATATTAAGGTTGTTATGTTATGTTATTATATATCATACATTATTATGTATCTGTATATAATTACATTTAAATTATATGCTATTTATATTTTTATATATAATTTCTATATTACCTAATTTTAAAATCTATTTCTCCACTTTTCTAACCACAGTCTAGGGAGAAATATGTAAATATCTATAGTTTTATTTTCCTTCACTAAATTTATTCACACTGAAATTTAATCAGCTGTCTTAAAATATCCTTAGTGTTTACTGAGGAGTACATAATGGATAAGCATCATTGAAAAGTCTGTTATGTTTCTAGCTTCTAATTTTACCAAAGATCTCTGTGGTATTTTCTGATAATATTAGAGTAGGAAAAGACACATATTAATATTTCTATCTTATGTATGGTGAATATGAAATAGAAGAGAAAATCATCAGGTACTTATTCTAGGTCCTACTTACCACGCATCTCATGGAGAATCAATCAACTAACTTAAACAGAACCTGAGATTTCTGCTTTCACTGTAAGTTGTTTATTTACAAATCAGAGAGGGCAGGGTCCTCACAATGAACAAAATAAATAATTTCCATTAAATTTCTTACCTGTACAATATCCCTCTCGGCATATTTTCCCCTGGAGGAAACTCTTACATCATCTCCATCCAATTCAACCATGGCTTTAAAATAAAATAAGACCATTTATCCAGTGCATTTCAGTCATGTACTAAAACAATACAGGCGGTAGGACATCAAGATGTATGAAGCAGCAACGTGTCCTATGTCAGGGCAGAAGGCTTGTTGATCCCATCTCCTCAGTCGTGTCTGCCACAGAATTTGACTGAGCGCAAAGGTTACAAATGAAGAAAGCTAGCCAAGGGGCGCCCGGGTGGCTTAGTCGGTTAAGCGTCCGACTTTCGCTTAGGTCATGATCTAGCGGTTCGTGGGTTCGAGCCCCGTGTCGGGCTCTGTGCTGACTGCCAGCTCAGAGCCTGGAGCCTGTTTCGGTCTGTGACTCCCTCTCTCTCTGACCCTCCCCTGCTCACGCTGTCTCTCTCTCTCCTAGAAATAAATAATAAATAAAAATATTAAAAAAAAAAAAAAAGAAAGAAAGAAAGCTAGCCAAGACCTCATCGTGACCCTTTGCAAACTGTAAGAGCTACTGTAATACACGTATATCTCCCCACCCTAGACGTTCTCAGTTCTGGGTTATATGCCGACCTCACTGATGGGGCAAGTGGTGCTAATCACTTTTGTTTTGTTAACTTTTGTTTTCTTTCTAATAAGAAACTTGATAGTAATCACAGAATTTCCAGTAACAATTTGAACTCTACTCTCATTGAAACAACAACAAATACACTGTATGTTATCTAACTTGGATTTAAGGAAATAAAAAAGAAAGAAACTACAAAAATGTATGTCCATATAGCCCAATTTTTACCTTATTAATGGATTTTGAATCCATTAATTTAAAGAGGTATTTGCTCTATCATGTTGATTGAATAAAGTGTGATTATTCTGAAGGATGATTTTTTTGTTAGTTAAGAAATAATTTTAACATTACATAGGTCAGCCTAGCTGGTATTTGTGAACGCTGCGATATATTAGGACAGCTGGTAATAAAGTAAAGCAATGCTGCAATTAAGAACATTTTCTAGAGTTTATTAAGTTTTCAGTGAGAATTCTCTAAATAATTAATTACATGAGGAATGGTAATTTGTGTTTAAAAGTATAATTCTATTACGGATAATTCATTTTGTATACACATGACATTCACCAGACTCCAGTGACCACTTGCAATGATAATGTTTGCTTATTCACCCTCCAAACACTACTGCTCAGCCAGAAAACAATCTTTACCTTTTCATTATTTTCTTCAGTGCTTGAATAACGCGTCTGGGTTACAAACATTGTTTTAAATTTTACCTTTATACACGTGTTCATGAGTCAATGTCTGGGCTGGAACATTGCTAGTGCTCATAATTGATAGAGAGCTACCATTCTATAATTTGCTTAGATATACAATACATGTCATAATTTAAGAAAATGTGTATGCTATAATTAACTTATAAAATACAAAGATCTACAGAACAAATGAGCAAAGGGAAAAAATGAGAAAGACAAAGCAAGAAGCACATTCTTAATTATAGAGAACAATCTAATGGTTACTGAGGGGAGGTGGGTGGAGAGATAGGTGAAACAGGTGACAGGAATTAAGGACGGCACCTGTCCTAAGGAGCACTGAGTGCTGTACACAAGCGTTAAATCACTATATTGTAGATCAGAAACTAATATTACAGTGTATGTTAACTATAATGGGATTAAAATAATAAAAATAATAATAACAATAATAGTAATGAAAAGTGTCATACATAAGATCTATTTTTCTTTTATACTTATTAGTGATGTAAATAAGAGTGTCACGATGCTCAAATAGCTTTCAATAGCTAATTACCTTTCTGGGTTAGTTTTTTGTTCAAAAATTTCATGTGACTTTGAGACATAAATGTTCAGTGATGGTGACAAGCCAGCAATTACAGGAAGTTCTTCTTTACTCTCAAAATGGAAAACAAAATTCGGTGATAATCTGGATCTCATAGTCCACAGTCCCCTACAATCTCCATCGGTCGTTGTGTTTAATTCCAATTAAGGAAAATGACAGTTATCCAGGTAATTACATATTAGAATGTGATCCTATAAAATATGTCCCATTTTTCAGCACGTCCTTTGGGTTAAAAAGCTGCAGGTTGCAAGAATTGGAGACTATTTTTGAAAGCAAGGAGAAAAGACAGGGTGCAAAAGTGGTGAAAGGTACCGTTCACCCTCTAGGTTTGCATCTGGTCCACAAGGAGCCTGAGATGGTAAGCCCCAGGTCCCCACAAGTACTTCTTAGAAAAAAAGGTCTATAAGAGACAGAGATGCATTTCTTTCTAGCTGTGGGAGACACAATGAAATTAGAACCCATTTTACTTCTTCCTTTCTACTAACTCAGATCAAAGCAGGTAGTCCAATGCTGCTTTAATTTGACTTTTTACCTTTTAAGGATAAAGAAATCCTGCCTTGGGAAATCTTTCTTCTCAATGAAGATGCTTTATGGCAGAGTGAAAACTCATTGGTTAAATGAGTATTTTTAATGAGTATTAAAACAGAAAGTTTTAAATTGTTCATATTAAAACTACAGAAATGAGAAATCTGAATACTCATTAATCTAATAGGTTAATCTTAATTCATCTAATTTCAGAGAACGTATGGCAAGATACTACCTTTCTTGCCCATGCAAATAATGTCTTTCTTGTTAAAAGTGTTTGGATGTTGGATTTAGGTGGTTAACTGATAAAATGTACAAGATTTAGATTCAGATTGTGCATGTTTTATCTCAGCCTTTCCTTATGCCAGTTTCTATGTGTTATGTATAAACCTACTCTACAGCAGATTTGGAAGTGCTGACTGAAAGACTCTTGACGGGTCAGCACAATCTGAATGGAAGTCAAAGATTTTTTATGCGAAACATGAGTATTCTGTCCTTTTCCTGTTAGCCATGGAGAGAAGAGAGGTATTTTGAGAGGAGAGAAAGAAAAATACTTTAGAGAAGCATTTGTGTCTCCTAGAGGAATAGTCTACTTTTCTAGTTCTGGCCTGAAAGTTTTTCCATCGTATTAAAGCTTTTGTCATGTTGAAAGCACAAGTCAGTTGTCACAGGACCCTAATGCCCTGTCCCCACATTTGCCAGAGGAAAGTATCACTTTAATTCCCAGGAAGGAATTCTATTGGGAAGGCAACTTCCCTCCTTGCCTATAATCTTCACTCTTTTTTCCACATGGAAAAATACACCTAAATGATTTCTGGGATTACTAAAATGAGAAGGGACTGACTATGAAATCTCTCTGGTTAGGAGTGCCCTATCCTTAGTTTGGATGTAATTTCTCCCTGTGGTGTGCTTAATAGACCAGGCTCTACCTTTGCACAGAGAAGGCTTGGAGAGAAGGCAAAGGTCATTTAATCTTGGGAGGAGAATAGAGACAAGTCTGATTTTGTGCAGGGCTTAACCCAAATTCTTCAGTTCTGCATTATTAGTAACGCTTATATTATGGTCTTCGTCTGAGGGATTCCCACATATTTTTATTCAGTTTGGGAAGTCAGAGAGGGAAATGATGAATTATCATGCCTCAAACCCTAATAAATAATTCATTGGGAACAAAAGAAATGAAGAAAATAAATAGCTGTGGCAGTTGGATGAGGGAGTACCCAAATAACTATGCCTGCTGCTCTGAATAGAAATATATGACCAGAAATACATGCAAGGAAGGATCAGTGGCTCTGTATTCACACATGATGTGTGCAGGCTCTTGAGGAACAAGTGAATGAGGTTAAGTCATACACCTAATCTCAGACTTCCACAGGAGTTGGGGAGACCTGGAATGTACCCAGTGAGAGACCTGGGATGTACTCATCCTTGAAGCAGAAGCCAATTAGTAACCGAAGAAGGCATGAGTTATTTTACCCTAGCAATTGGTGAAGTTTGTGAATCACAGTCAATCACTGATTAATGCAGATGATCAAGTACACAAAGCATTAACAGGAAAGATGTCCCTTAGCTTTCCTGACTCCAGAGAGGTTATCTCAAATTCATACTTGACGTACAATGCAATCGGATGTAAGTATTCAAAGACAGAAAATAATAGCAGAAGCAGCAGCAGTCAGAGCTAAATGACTTTTGCTTTAGACACTGGAGGATTATAATGAAGCAAAGCATGACCAACCAACCATGGAATCGAAAGAAAGGATTTCTAAGGTCAGCAATATAACTGCTTTGCCTGTGGTGCTTTTCCTGAGATGGACAGATCTATACTCACTCTCCTTATGGAGGAGGCTCTGGTGGCTAAATGAGAGTCATCCCAGCGATGACCATAGTATTATTAGCAACCTATGTGCTTAAATTAACCTGTAATGTATCAAAGCTTGTTCTAAATACCCTAAAATTATTCTCATGTCCAAGGCGCCAAGCTAAATTGGGTCATTGTTAATGTAAAAACACCTGAAGCAGGCAAATGCCATGTGGTCATGCAGTTGCCATCTAGCACAGAGTTGTCTCTGAAAGGAATTCACCACATGACTGCGAACAAATTATCCTTAAAGAAGTTTACCCAGATCACTAGTTATACAAACACCAGTCACTTAATTGGCATTTGAGCAAGGACTGAGCCCAGAGAACTACCCAGTAACTCAATTTAGCATAATTTTATAAAGCGTCATTAAATCTCAGATGGTCAGTTCCATTTTCATTTTACTTTGCTCTTTCATATGACAGAACTTATATATTTATAGAGCTAATGTCTATCCAGTGTCTGAAAATCCATTAAAGTAGCATATTATGCTTGTGTTAACATCGCTCTTCACAATCCAATGGTTTATTAATTTAGAGCTCATCCATAAAGGTTTTTAGTGAACCCAGAGTATGTTTTGCCTTGGGAATAACAACTCCATTTATCACTCTGTCACTCATACAAAATATTATCTTGGGGTACAAACCATCGCTAATGGAATAGAAAGTTATATGTTGAATTAATTGATACTAGAGAGAAAAAGGCTATAGTCAGAAGACAATCTCTTCATTTGCTCTACTGAATGGACTTCCTCATGAGATATTTACATTATATCTATGTGAACATGGATATTATATAGAGATCCATATTCATATTCAGGTTCTTATAGACAAAAATGAGTGAAAGAAATCTTACAGCATGATGGATCAGAGGAAATAAACTCCCAAGAAATACTATTGAAATATTATTACTTACCATCAAATTCTGCTGGTCCAACACCTACTATAATTATTGACATTGGAAGTTTTGAAGCCTTCAAAGAGAATATAGAAGAAGTTCACAATTAAGAAGTTGACTTCTTAAGAAAAGAACTACAATTTAAGAAGAAAATAATATCCTGTTTTGATATTTTTTCACAGATGTTCACTAAAATAGGTTTGAACATATCACAAAAATATGCTTGATTCTACTCATTCTTTTTGAACTAACTTTGTACATACACTTATTCAGTGGAACATTCTCTGGGAATGACTAGCCTTGGACAGTATGAAAAATAAAATGTATTGCACATCTGCTTTCACTTGCTGTTCTCAGCCAACATCTTCCTAAGTTGACTGTGTGTATCTCTAGACATTTTATTCATGTTCTCTCTCTTACCAAAAATCTTTGAGTTGATATAAGGGAAAAAAATGGCACTATATTTGTGAAAGAGTAGCACCTTACTCTATACCACTTATACCCAAGATTAGGGAAAGAATTTTCATCATAAATGAGTGAATACAAATTATAATTACAGAAAGTTATTATTAGAATGATTAATTTATGTATTAGATATCCATGAGATTGTGAGCGATATTAAAGATTTGATGTAACAGCATATTTTCCCATCATTCGTATCACTTAAACAATGTAATCATTTTAAATAACTTAATGGTCAGAATGTGAGATCCAGTAACAGAGACATGGCACATAGCAACCACATCTAAAGCTACGAAGGTCATCAAATTATGAAAATTGTTCCTCAATACGCGACATCTTATTAGTTTAAGCCCAAATTATTAACTTCCTATTTTCAAGTGAACACTAACGCCACTAACAACTGAGGCCTGGGGGGCTCAGTTGGTTGAGTGTCCAGCTTCAGCTTAGGTCATGACCTCATGGTTCATGGGTTCAACCCCACATTGGACTTCGCTCTGACAGTGTGGAGCTTGCTTTGGATTTTCTCTCTCTCTGTCTCTCTGTCTCTCTCTCTCTCTGCCCCTCCCCAATTCATGCCGTCTCTCAAAAAAAAAAAAATACAGATTTTATATATTATAATCTAATAAAGAAGACAAATAATCATAAAAATAAGTAATTAGGAATTGTACAAGAATGGTTTTTGAATCAAATCCAGTCCCTTTCAGTTGTATAGAAATAAGAATTTTAATACAGTTCTCCTATAATTGAAATGTAAATAATAAGAAATACTCTGTACAAATTGTAAGATTGTGTACAACTACATTCAGCTGGTAGAGGTAAACACACTCATGCACATGAAGGTGATGCTACAATCTTATTTGTTTTTATTTTGGGAGGAAAATAATTTTGTTATGACACAATTACCCATACTGCTTAGGTTAGTCTTTATGAATTAATGGTACATATGCATTTGAGTTCTCTGGATAAGCTTAAGAATGCAATCAGTTGCAAAAGCATGACCATTTTGTTTCTATTAAGTCAACTAATGTTAACTCTTTCAGCTTAGGTTGAAAGCACCATGCTGTCACTTAGCCAGCTCAAGACTGAATGATCCCTACTCACATTGACTATGGACTCCTTGGTTTGAGCCATATCGGAGATAACACCATCTGTCACAATCAGGAGCACAAAATACTGGGAACCATCTTTTACTGAAGAAGCATACCTGAAGCAATGAAAAGATAAAGAAAATCAAACAGCTCCTTTGTATGGCATGGTTGCTAAATATAATTGCATAGTCAACAAACCTTTAATCTCAAGAAAATATTTAAGCTTATATTAGGAGTTTATATTATGCAAGCTCTCAAATAATACATTTTTTTTCTGAAATAGCACACTAGAACAGCAGCAACATTACTGCCAGCACACAGAAAAGCCTGCCTGCCTTAGAAATTCATTCACTAATAAAAGGTGAGCTGGATGAGGGTATGTTTAGCACAAAGGAATGGAATAGCTTTCAGAAACAGATACCCAAGCAACAAATTATGTGTATGATCTTTAGTAAATTACTTTAGATATCTAAATTTTATTTCTTTACCTTTAAAATCAAAATTGTATGCCTTCGTTTTATTAATTAAGAAATTGCATGGATGCTACCTAATATATAATACAGTTTTATAAATGGTAGCAATAATCATAAATGCTTTTTGTTTTGAACTAGACACAGGTGATTATTTTACAACATTGTGAACTGCTGAACATCATCTAACTGTAAACTTAAAAATGGTTACTTTTATGTTATGTGAATTTCACCTGAAAAAAATGCAACAGAAGAAATGTTTTTTTACACATCCATAGTTCAAGTTCTTTTTTTTTTTTTATTCAATTTTTTTAATGTCTGTTTTTGAGAGAGAGAGTGAGTGACAGAGCATGAACAGGGAAAGGGAGAGAGAAAGACACACACACACAGAATCTGGAGACAGGCTCCAAGCTCTGAGCTGTCTGCCCAGAGCCCAACGTGGGGCTCGAACTCCTGAACTATGAGATCATGACCTGAGCCAAAGTCAGACGCTTGACTGACTGAGCCACCAGGCCTCCCCAATGGTTCAATTAATATGTGTTAAATATGTGTTAAATTGATGAAAGATTGGGAAAAGAATACCAAACAAAGACAAATTTTAGGTATTAATATATTCTAAGGGTGCCTGAGTGGCTCAGTCTGTTAAATGTCTGACTTCTGCTTTGGTCATGATCTCACAGTTTGTGGGTTTGAGCCCCGTGTCAGGCTCTGTGCTGGCAGCTCGGAGCCTGAAGCCTGCTTTGGATTCTTTGTCTTTCTTTCTTCATCTGTCCTCTGCTCACGCTCTCGGTTTCTCTCTCCAAATAAATAAAAAACATTAAAATTTTTTTAAAAAAAATTTAAGAGTATATTCTAGTACTTGAAGTTTATCAGGGTTCTCACCAAGTAAGACTCAGTAGTTCAGAAGTAAATGTTATGGATGTTACATTTTATTAGATCTCCTTTTATCATTGTGTTCTACATTCTGAGTATCTAGATTATATTCTCAATAAGAATACTTTTTTTTTAAGACGCTTTTATTTTTTAAGTTTGTTTGTTTTGAGAGAGAGAGAGAGAGAGAGAGAGAATCCCAAGCAGGCTCCGTACTGCTAGAGCAGAGCCTGACACAGGGCTCGAACTCACCCACTGGGAGATCATGACCTGAGTGGAAATCAAGAGTCGGATGCTCAACTGATTGAACCACCAAGGCGCCCCTCAACAAGAATAACTTTTATGACTTTTAGAATATAATTGGTATGCAGGTCATATCTAGTAACAAGCAAACATTATGGTACTCTTAGGAGATAAATAGTAAACAAGAAGACTTTTGTCTACTTCTGTAAAATTCATTGAATATTTATGTATCATAGAATCATAGAAAAATAGTATTACAGAGAAACTGGGTTCAAGAAAGTATCCATTGATTACCAATAAAATTCCTTCATAATCTGAAGTACCTAAAGGAATCAAATTTGAACAGGTCAGGGACAGACCAATCATATATGTAAAGGCAAAACTTATTTCTTGGAGAGCAGAATTAACAGCCATATGGGCAAGAAAAATATTTACAACTCTTCCATAGACTAGAGAAACTCGTAATTGCTCATGCATCTAACAAAATGGTAATTTCATAGACTGATCAAGAGAATACAGTAAGTGGCATGTTCACCCCCTATAAAAATAGTGTTGAACTCGTTCCACAATGTATAGTCAAAACTACTTCCACAATATTCAACAACTGATCATCTACATTAAGGAATTTATAAGTTTGGTGGTTACACAATCAATGAAAAATAGTCCAAACCGGATCTGAGACTATTCTCCTATTTCATGCTTAGCTTTTTTTCTGAATAAAAGAAGCCAGATAATCTCCCTTAGGTATTCATTTTTAATTTTTAAATATCCATTATTTAAAAAAATTTCTAATGTTTATTTTTGAGAGAGAGAGAGAGTATGAGCAGAGAAAGGGCAGTTATAGAGGGAAACACAGAATCTAAAGCATCTGAGCTGTCAGCACAGAGCCCCACCAGGGGCTCAAACCCATGAACATGACATCATGACCTGAGCCAAAATCAGATGCTTAACTGACTGAGCCAGCCAGGTGCCCCAATACCCATTATTTTTAAAAAAGCATTTCTTACTGACTATGTTTCAGAAACATAGAGTTTTATATTTCATGTGGAAGACTCTATAATGGAAGACTATAAATAGTAGTGAGGAAAGCTTCTATGAGTACAAGAATGTAGGTTTTCTGCTAATCTTACCAAATGATGCTCTTAAAATGGCAAATTTTTACCAGATTCAGAAACAGTAAGAAAGTAAAATATGCTTTTCTATAAATATCACTTCAAGGGTGATTTGGGGGGGTATTCACCCATAAAGAAAGTCTCAGTTGTTAGTATAGTTTCCCTGCAGTTAATTAAGATATATAATTTGATGAGTTTGGACAGAAGCAAAAATTCATGCTACCATCAAAACAATCATGGTAATAAATATACCACTTCTTAAATTTTCCTGTGTCCCCTTTGTGTGTGTGCACATGGCACACACACACACACACACACATTTAATATGAAAGCTACCCTCTTAACAAAATTTTAAGCGCACAATATCACATTATTGCCCATGGGCATATCTTGGAGGCTGTGAATAATGCTGCAGACACCTCTTTGAGGTCCTGATTTCAGGTTTTTTAGATGTATACTCAGAAGTGGGATTTCTGGTAGTTATATATTTTTTGAGAAATCTCTATGTTGTTTCTTCATAGTGCCTGCACCAATTTAAAATTCCCACCAACAGTGCACAAGGGTTCCAATTTCTTCGCATCCTTACCAACACTTACTATCTTTTTGACTTTTGGATAATAGCCATGCTAATGAGTGTAAAGTAATAAAGATAGTTCATTGTGGTTTTGATTTGCATTTCTCTGATGATTAGCAATGTTGAGCATTTTGTATATACTTACTTGGCCATTTGTATGCCTACTTTGAAGAAATGTGCCAGTTCTTTGCCCATTTCCAAAATCAGATTAGTTGTATTTTTGCTATTGAGTTGTATGAGTCCCCTATATATTTTGGAAATTACCCTGTTATCAAATATATAAGTTGCAAATATTTTCTCACACTCCGTAGGTTGCCTTTTCATTTTGTTGATGGTATCTTTTGCTGTGTAGAAGCTTTTTAGTTTGATGTATCCACTTGTGTATTTTTGCTTTTGCATTTTTGGTGTCATTCCCAAGAAATCATTGCCAAGACTGAAGTCAAGGTGTTCTCTTTTATTCTAAGAGTTTTATAGTTTCATGTCTTATGTTTAATCAATTTTCAGTTAATTTGTGTGAGTGGTAATATCAGGATCCAACTTCATTCTTTTTCATGTGTATATCCAGTTTTTCCAACACCAATTATTGAAGAGATCAGTTTTTACTCATTTTGTATTCTTGGCACTTTTGTCAAAAACCTGCAGATTTTTGTCTGGGTCTCTCTATTCTATTCAATTGGCATATGTACTTATTTTTTAGATCAGTACCTTGCTGTTTTAATTATTGCACCTTTCAAGTATGTTTTAAAACCAGACAATATGATGCTTGCCTCCAGCTTTGTTCTTTCTCAAGATTGCATCAGTTATTCAAGGTTCTTTGTGGTTTCACATATATTTTAGGATTGTTTTTCATATTTGTGCAAGATATACCATGAAGATTTTGGTAGGGATTGCACTGAGTCTGTAGAACACTTTAGACATTTAAACAATATTAAAATTTCTAATCCATAAACATGGTATGTCTTTCCATCTATCTGTGTCTGCTTTAATTTCTTTCATTGATGTTTCATAGTTTTCACTATAAAAGCCTTTCAGTTCCTTGCTAAAGTTTATTCCTAAGTATTTTATTTTACTCTTTTGGTACTATTGTAAATGGGATTTTTTCTTAATTTCCTTTTCAGATAGTTTGTTATTAGTTTATAGAAATGCAACATTTTTACAGGTTGATTATGTATCCTGCAACTTTACTGAGTTCATCAGTAAATAGGTTTCCTTTTTGTTTTGTTTTGTTTTGTTTTTCTTTGCTTTGTTTCCTTCAGTCTTTAGGGTTTTCTACATGTAAGATCAGGTCATCTGCAAACAGAGATAATTTTACTTCTTCTTTTACAGTTTGGATGCCTTTTATTTATTTTACTTGTCTAATTGCTCTGCTAGGACTTACAGAGATATGTTGAATAGACATAGGAGAGTGGGCATCCTTGCTTTGTTCTATATTTTAGAGGAAAGCTTTTAGTTCTTTTTTTTTTTATCATTAAGTACGATGTTAGCTGTGGCCTTTATTGTGTTGAGGTAAATTCATTCTGTACCTATTTGTTGATAGTTTTTGTCATGAAAGAGTGTTGAATTCTGTCAATGCCTTTTCTCTATCTCTGAGATGATCATGTGATTTTTTGTCCCTCATTCTGTTAATGTGTTGTATCACTTGCTGATTTGCATATGTCGAACCATCTTTGCTTGCCAGAAATATATCCTACTTGGTCATTGTGTATAATTTGTTTAATGTGCTGCTGTATTCAGTTTGCCAATAATCTGTTGAAGATTTTGACATCCATTTTTATCAAAGATGTTGGTCTGTAGTTTTCATGCGGTGCTTTTGTCTGACTTTAGTATCAGCATAATGCTGGCT